ATCTGAATCTCTCGTCTCTATGAGCCCGACCTTCCGAACTTAACACAAACGAAAAACAAAAATAAAATAAAATTAATATATTCAGGATCCCCATGGTATTTCCCCCCAATCTACGATGGATCTTACATTTATTCCAGAGATATTCATATAACCATTTCATATTTCCTCTTTGTTTCCATTTAGCCAAATTTTGCCTATGGAATTTTATTTAATTTTTATTCATCACCTTTTTAATCATAATATAATAATCTCATTGCAAATACTTTACAATATAGTCATTTCTAAATTACCATATTCTTTGTTTTTCTAATATCCTTTATATAATCAATTGCATTTTCTATTTTCTATTTAATATTATATAAAAATAAAAGGATTTAATAATAAAACCATTTTATTTTTTCTTACTCTATCATTTTTCTCATATATAATTATATAATATTCTTACGGTGAGGTCTTATTCCCCTTTAATTCCAATTAAGCTTATTTCTTTATTTTTGAAAGTAATTCCCAATGAACTTTAAACTTCAAAACTCCCCAATCTATATTTCTAAAAAAGACCGAAATACATTTCCATGTGGAATCCCCCCTTTATTTTATCTTTAACCATCACCTCTTAGTCTCTCGGCCCTATAATTTCTTCTAATTTTAGCCAGTTTTCCAAGTTTTTCCAGTCCTTTCTCTTAGTTCTTTTTCCCCCTATTATTATTTTTGTTTTCATCTCCCATTCACTTATTCCTCCCCCCCTCCTGATCTCTCTTTTGTGATTTCGTCTTGTATATCTTCTTCTTTTGTTTAATCTTGGAAGTATTTTCCCTTTTGTTTATCACAACTACCATCAAAGTCTTAATTTTAGTTCCTTTCGTGTCTTTTTGCAATGTCCATTGTTCTTTTTGCTCTTTTGGGCTGGTTTCCTCTTTCTTTAACTCCTCTTCCTTCGACTTTCTTTGTTCTGTGAACTGCATCACCATTTCTAGTTTTTCTGCCAATATACATGCTTTCTTTTATTATTCCCCTCACATTTTGCAGTTCTGATCTGAGTTCTTTGCACATTTCATTCATTTTACTTATTCAGTTGAGTTATTCTATATTTTATTAAAAGCCAGCATCTTCTATTTTAATCTTTAACGAAAATATCCATTTATCTTAATTTCTCTTGTTAATCCTTCTGTTTCCTTATCACAGCCCCAATCCACCAAACAGTCCTAAGATAATATCTTTGCTTGTCCCTTTGCTGTAATCGTTTTGTGCTTCCAGGGTTGCTGTTATATTATAGTCTTTTATTTCATTTCCCATTCATGCATTTACTACACCAGTAATTTTCCATATAATCATAAGAAAAAAGTTCCTTTAAGCATTAGGTGGTGGTGTTACATCGATTTTCACTTTCCACTTTTTAAAGTTCTTTCCCCCTCCTCCGCTTGTATTAATTCTGCTAATCTTCAATCATTAGCTATTATATTTTTTAAATGTAATCAATCCCAGCAAGTCCAGCATTCTAATCAATGCCAAATTTTGTATAATATTCCAAATTGTATTTCTGATTCTGTTATTGTTTAAAAAATTTTCTCTAAATAATATCACTTACATTTCAGTCCTTTTCTAGTCCAATTTTATTTACTTTATAATTTTCCTCTTACTTTCCAATTGCCGCTTCGACAATTTTAAATGAGGGCTCTTTCCTTCTATTTCTTGGGGTTGCCATGAAGAAATCCAAAGTATTTTGCCTGGTCACACACTGCTCACCACTTCACTGCTCCAGCACAAACTTAATTCCTGGATAGCTTCCCGTCTTCAGGTTAGCCATTAAGGACTGCCGCTACAGCCTATCTTCAAGGGGAGTATACCTAGCCAGGTAAGGGAGATGTGGCTCCCCTCGACCCAGCTGACGGTCTCTGCCTCTTTCACCACCCCTCCAGGGTGGATCCAGTCCCTCCAACAGGTTGAGCACAGATCAAAGCCGTGAATGATTGTGGTCTCCGATCCGTCTTCGACGGAAGTGCCACCGGAAGTGCCATTTCTGGGCAGTTTTGATGATTCTCTGTAGCTTTTTTGTCCGCTACAGAGCTGCTCCCATACCATGCAAGAATGCCGTATGTCAGGACACTCTCAATGGTGCTGCCATAGTAGGACAGAAGTAGATGCTGAGATAGATTTTACTTCCTGAGCATTCTCAGGAAGTGCAGCCTCTTCTTCTGTGCCTTCTTCACAAGCATGTTAGCATTCATAGTCCATGAGATCCTCCGAGATGGAAGGGCCCAGAAATGTAAAACCACCAACCCTCTCCACCTCCTCGCCATTAAGGGTAAATGTACATCTCTCTTCCTCCTGAAGTCAATTATAAGTTCTTTAGGGATTTTTTTTTTGGTGTTAAGTGTAAAATTATTTTTTTACACCATTGTCAGCCTTTGCACTTCCTTTCTGTAAGCAGACTCATTGTTCTTGTTAATGAGCCCCACCACTGTCGTGACATTCGCAATTTTAATAATTGCAATTGATGTTATACAATGGTCATGTGTGTACAAAGAATAAAGGAAGGGGCGAGATCCCATCCTTACTGACTGTGGTCTATCTGTCAGAAAATCCTTAATCCACAAAAAAACCCTTCTGATTTATACCCAAATTGGACATTTTAAGGAACAACCTGTTGGGTAGGATGGTGTTAAAGGCAGAACTATAACCCACAAATAACAGCCTTGCATAAGTTCCCTGTTGTTCCAAATTATTCAACACAGTATGGACCACAATAGACGTAGCATCATCAGTTCATGTTACTCTTATATGCAAATTGGTATGGGTCCAAAGGAGATGGAAGACTAGCCTTAATGTAGTTCAACACCAGTCTCTCAAAAGATTTCATGACAACAGATGTTAAAGCTACTGGTCCATAATCATTGAGAGATACCACTACTGTCTGCTGAAGGACTGGCACTATAATGTCTTCAGGCAGGTAGGGATAGAGCACAGTGACAAGGATAGATTGAAAATGTCTGTGAACACTCCAGCTAACCCTGCAGGGCAGCCCCTAACAACTCGCCCCGTGATTCCATCTGGCCCAGCTGACTTCCGGGTGTTAATATTCTGGAAAGTGCGTCTCACATCAGAAACCTGCAGTAGAAGTGGTTGTCTATCAATGGTAAAGATTAGTGGTGTACTATCAGTGGTAGATGCTGGAATGACGGGCATGCCTGTTTCCACCTCAAAACGGCTGAAGAATTGATTTAGCTGCTCAGCCAAAGAATCACTACTGCTAGACAAACTGCTTTAATTGCTCTGCCCCATAATTGGTCGCAGACCTTGCCATAACCCGACCGAGAGTCCAACCCCTCAAAATGTTCAATCCTCCGTCTATATGTAGCTTTAGCGTCCCTCATGCCCTTTTTCAATTTAGCTCTTGCCTTGCTATCCTGTAGTGCATAACCAGAATGGAAAGCAGCATTTCTAGCTCTTAATAAAAGGCACATGTCTCTATCGATCCAGGGCTTGTGGTTAGAAAACACCCGTACTTGTCTGATGGTAGTGACAACATCAGTGTAGCTTTTGATATAAAACAGTACTGTTGAGGTGTAAGTATCCATATTGTCCTCCTCAGGGCCCATTCAGTGCTTCTAAAGGAATGTTGAAGTTCCTCAGATTCACCCACTGGTCGCTCCTTTATTTCTCTGATGGTCTGATTCTGTTGACAAGAGGTCCGTATGATGGAATCAACAACAGAGATCTATGATCTGACTGCCCCAGATGGGGTAAAGGCATAGTCCTAGATCAGTGGTGGCTAACCGTTTGGGGCTCCTGTGCCGATAATTGCGTGCGTGCTTGCCTGCTCATGCTTGCGTGCCATCACGTGTGCCACATTGTGCCATCGCATGCACGCACAACCAGCGCAACTCGCGCGATTCGTACTTCTGCGCATGCGACCTTCTCATGCGTGCTGCATGCTTTTGCGCATGCATGTATCCTGCGTGCCACCGTGCGCCCTGCACATGTGCGCAGATACCTGACAATCAGCTGGTGGGTGGGCAGCGCGCGCGGATGCGCATTACACCTTTTCTGGTCGAGTGCTCGCGTGCCGGCAGTAATGGCTCTGCGTGCCACTGCTGGCCTGCGTGCCATAGGTTTGCCACCACGGTCCCATATCCATGCTTAATGTTACTATATACGTGATTCAAGGGGGACAGTCTATGTACTGATAGAACTTAGGGAGGACAGTCTTTAAATTGGCCTGATGCGCCTCGGTCCCTCCCTCCTGGGAATCCAGACTATGTTCCACCGCACCGTGATGAACTCCAGGGCAGCCTCCCTATGGGTGGATGGGCTTCAACTCCCAGCTAGCTCAGCAGCAGCCATATTGTCGGAGGAACTGGTAGGCAGGCATTCAGTTCGATGATATAGGGTTCCTATAACCACCATTTCTTGCCCCAGAGGGTGATGAGAATCAAAATGGAAATGGAGTCTACAAGAGTCCTTTCGGTAGTTCCAAGAAGGCTCCACACCCATGTGCACTACTCCGGTGACCTTGAGGACACAGAAAAAACCTCCAAGCAGTCTCAGTGACTCTCTAATACAAATGACCAGTTGTCTGCAAGGATTATTAATTGGTTTTTTCCCCCTTCTCATCCAAGAAGCTTCCTTCAGTTCTGACTGAAGAACTGAACTGTTAACCAGAACTGAGGAAGCTTTTCGGATAAGAAACAAAATCTCTTCAAAGAAAAAAATTGAACTTAACTGTTACCCAGAACAGAAGATTCATGGATAAGAAGCAAAACCTCTTTAAAGGAAAAACTGAACTGTTAACCAGAACTGAAGAAGCTTCTCGAATGAGGAGCAAAACCTCTTCAAAGAAAAAACAAGAAAGTCCAGTTCTTGAAAAAGAACATCCACGACCTGGATGACCGAGAAGAGATATCCAGATATTTTAAATATATTTTTAAAATGATGTTCAAAGAATATTTGCAACCAACTCCCCCTCCCCAAACTTACCCCCAATGATCACTTCAGAGCCCATGTTATTATCTGGTCAAGTTCCTTTTATTGATTAAATTAGCATTTCCGTACAACTGCATAGCATCGGCCGCTTTTCTGAATAGAAGAGTCTAGAAAGCATCGGTAGCAATCATGATTGATTGTTTTTTTTTTCTCGCCCCCCCCAAAGATCAGGAGAAACAATGATTCAGAGTTAGGAAAACCGCCGATTCCAGAACGAGTTTTGTGTTTAGAACACCGTGGATTCCAGAGCGGCATAGATCAAAATGATAAAATTTATCGCACTTCCCTGCAGAACCTTTCCTTCGCAACCCCCACCCCATTAACTAGCGGCTCTGGGGGATGAAGCCTATCATCCACTAATCAATCTCCCCAATTAATCCACACTTCCCTCCTGCTTTTGAGGTTTCCATCAACTGTGTCCGTTCCAAGCATCTCCCCTTGGTGTGTGCTGCAGCCTCTCTGCTTCCCTTTTTTGGGAGGTAGGTGGGTTGTCTCCCGCAGCCCCTAACCTTCCTTCCTGTGTGGTGCTCCGAGTTCTCCCACCTACCGATGGGCTTCTCCAGGTCACCCCCTCCTCCCGCCCCACAGAGGCTCGGCGAATGGCCCCTGCCGGCCCTTCTCGCCGGTCGTGGGGAACTCCCTAGTCCAAAGATGGACCTCCGCTTTGTGCCCGACTTTCCTGGCGCCTGGCTTGCCAGCTGAGCTCGGTGATGCCTCTCTAGAGTGTGGGTGAAACTCTCCCGACGTCTTCTCTCCGGAGCCCGAGAGGTCATCTGTTATTCAGCGTGGAGGCGATGAAGCAACGTGGCTCGGCCTGGTGCTGCCGATCACCATCCTCAGGAGGCCCCGGACGTTTGGCCGGGAAGGCCTCTCTCAGGTAAGAGAGGCCAGCGGTGTTGATGTAGTTAGTCCTCAAGGCTTCATCCCACTGCTGGCCAAAGGTTTTGTGGGAGGAGTCGTGAAGCGCCCGGTAGTCGGCATCGGAAAGCGGGAAGGTGCGGGGTTCCCAAGGCAGGACGTTCTGAAGAGGTGAGGAAGAGGAAGAACAGCAGTGTTAGTGGGAGAGAAGGAGAATTCAGCGAAGGAAAACCCATCCGGGTTCTTCTCGACTTATGAGCAGTTACCGTGTTTCCCCCAAAATAAGACCTAACTGGAAAATAAAACCCTAGCATAATTTTTCAGGATGCTCAGTGATATGAGCCGTACCCTAAAAATAAGCCCCAGTTAAGATTGTCATCCAAACGGTCATATTTAATGCCGTATTTCCCCTAATAAGGCCTAACTGGAAAATAAGTCCTAATGCATCTTTTGGAGCAAAAATTAATATAAGACTGAGTGTTATTTTCGGGGATAACATGGTACTTAGTGACCATTTGAAGTTACGACATACCTCTGTGGGAATACAGTAAGTCCTTGATATCTAACATCTGAGATCTTCAAATTTACCATGGCCCTGAAAAAAGTGACTAATAACCGCTTTTCATACTTATGACCCGTTGCAGCGTTCCCCAGGGTCACGCGATCAAAACTCAGAAGCCTGGCAATTGACTCATATTTATGATGGTTACAGTGGACTGGGGTCATGTGATTCCCTTTCTGTTAAGGTATTGAGATTTAAGAGCTGACCAGTTGCTGTAAGGGTGATGCAATGTAAGGCTGATGCAATGAGGATGGATCAGCCTTGATGCTGCCTTTTTAAGACTATGGATGGGTCCATAGAAGTCTTTACCTTTTTAAGAGGTGTCTACATAAAGGCAGAGGGCATTAGAGGGCCTGTTCTCTTTGCTTGTGCAAAGTTCTCTGTGTAGTTGAAGACAGCTTGCTTGTCAGGTATTTGCCTACCACGTATATTTCTGAATATGTCTTGTATATAAATCACTGTTAAATGTCTAAGCCTCCGGAGTGTGCTTTGTTTTGCTGCTGGGTTGTCTCACGATAGTAGTCACGCTGCACATGCTCTGACATCTTCTGACCAGCAAAGTCAATCGGGAAGACTGATTTCCTTGGCAACTCTGCTATTTAGTCAACAACTGCAGTGATTCACTTAACAACTATTGTGACTGGTGGCCAAATTGAGCCAAAAATGTAGGTTGCTAGGCGAGACAGTTGTTGTGAGTTTTGCTCCGTTGCTCACCAATGTTACTCAGTCAGACTCTCTTCCGTGGTGAAGCCTTGAGACGGTTAAGCGAATCTGGCTCCCCCCACTGATTTTGCTTATCAGAAGATTGCAAAAGGGGATCCCGGGATATTGAATCTGTCGTAAATACGAATTGCTAAATGTCCGGATTTTGATGTGACCGACGGTCCTAAGTCCTTTTTTCAGTGCTGTTGGGCCTTTTGAATTGTCACTGAACCAACAGTTGTAAACTGAGGACTACCTGTAATACCAATCTTCAATGTTTCCTGCTGGCTTCTCCTATGCAGTCAGTGGGGAAGCCAGCAGGAAGCTGAAGTCATACGAGCTCGTTGCTTAATGATAGCAATCAGGACTGCCAGAATTGCTATCGTTAACCTACAACATTGTGCTTTGCGACCACATATCTCAGCGACCAAAATTCTGCTCCCGTTTACGGTCCTAAGCCGAGGACTGCTTCCAATTTCTGTCATAACCAGAGGGGCCTTGCCTTGTTGATGGAATAACCGAGCCCTGCACACTGGGCCAATGGCCTCACCTGGATCTCGTCTGTATTGAAGGAAGAGTCTTCACTGAAGGAATTCCCTCCTCGGCCTCTTAACACCAGGGACGTTGGAATGTTGAAGGGGTCTGGGCTGAGCGACACAGTGGGAGAGTTGGCATCCTGAAGGTAGTGAAGACTGTTCGCCACGCTGTCCTGGCAGCCAGGAGGAGGCACCCAGCGCCCATCGGCTTTATGGGAGGAGCTCCTGGAAGGAGAAGGGAACACAAGAACCCCATCAAGCAGGAAGCTTAACTTAGCAGAGTCTCAAAAGAGATCTTGGGACGGTGGATGGAGCTCTGTGTGTGTGTGTGTGTGTGTCTTATTCCTTCCACCTCAATGGCGGACAGGGGTGCCTCCAAAAGGAGATCAAATGAGGGAGGGGCACGTTTTGGGGTGTGTGTGAAACACTGGAAAAAAGAGATATGCTAGAGAGATAGAAAACCAGACAAAGGTTTGGAAAGTTGTGACTTCTCCCTTCTAAGCCCTCCACCCTTTTGAAGAATTTGATTTAGACTGGAGACATTATCCAATTATTTATTTATACAATTTAGATGCTATATGATACATGAGGCTTCTTTCTGCTGCATTATGTATCCTTAAAGCAGGATTCCCAGGCCAGCCCAGGGGCAATTAGTTTGTCCATCCAATCCATACTTTCAACACCCCCTCCCTCTTCAGCTATATCTCTGTCCATCCACCCATCCTATATTTATCATCTCTCTCTCTTGCTATTACTTTATCATCAATCACCTATCACGTATCCTTGTATGTACCCACCCATCTAATCTATATAATTTGTCTCTATCTTATCTATCCATCCCTCTCCATCCATTCATCTCATCTCTAGCTGTCATCACATCCATCCATCTATCCAATTTCTCTAGCTATCATCCGTCCATCCATCCGTCCATGCAATGTGTATAATCGCTATCTTCGTATCCATCCATTCATCCATCTCAAATCTCTACCTATCATCTTATCTTCCCATTCATCCATCCAATCTGTAATAATCTATCTCTCTAGCTATCTTATCTAACTAGAGCAGGGGTCAGCAACCTTAAACACTCAAAAGAGCCACAAACCTCCTAACCGGAAGTCCCCCATTCAATTTTGGAGCCGACCAGATTCTATGGCGGTTCCCCCACCATAGAGTCTCCTCCTAGCGCAGCATCCTTTTTCCTCTACCTGTCCTAACCAAAAGCCCTATCAATTGTGGAGCCGACCGGCAACAGGGAGCCACAGCAGAGGGATGAAAGAACCACATGCGGCTCCAGAGCTGTGGGTTGCTGACCCCTGCCCTAATCTATATAATTTAACTCTGTATCTTATCTATCCATCTTCTCCATCCATCCATCTCATGCTGTTATCCCATCTCATCCATCTATCCTATTTGTATCATCTATCTTTGTATCCATCCATATCTCTATTTTATCCATCCATCCATCTAATCTCTCTACCTATCATTCATCCACCTCGATCCATCCATCCATCCTTTCTGTATAATCTATCTCTCTAGCTATCTTATCTAGCTAGAGAGATGATATACCGTGTATGGATGGATCAATGGATAAGATGATGGATTATACAGGATGGATGGATGGATATATAGAGATGGATGGGTGGATGAATGGGAAGATGCTAGGTAGAGGGATGGATGGTTGGATAAGATAGAGACATGATATAAATGGATGGATCGATGGATAAGATGATAGCTAGACAGATTGGATAGATGG